TATTTTGGTATAGTAGCTACAGACATTAGGCAGAAATGGCTAAGATTAAATAATTTCAAAAATAAAAAAATAACCTTATCATAAAGGAATTTTAGTAATTTATTTTAAGAAAACTCTTCATTAATATACGATTCCTTCATATAATCATTACTTTAAATTTTACATTGCCTATTTCCCCTTGCTTATACAAAGCTCTTTTTGGCTCCTCTGCATTAAATGAGTATTACTGATGCTGCAGGAAAACATTGATTGAAAATGGCCCATAATTGTATATACAACCTTTTGAAAAACTTTTAAGTTGTTACTTTAACATCTTTTAACTTTAATTTTTTTTCCTTCCATATCTATATTGTTTAATGGTTTTGGCAAATGGAATTCTGAGGCCCAGCATTTGTGAAAAGCTATCATTTATATGAAAGAACAAGATAGTGGTTGGAGGTAGATGACCATGTTAATGGGAACAGACTTTTTCATAGGGCTTCTAGCGATACGCCAAGGGATAATGGTTTTAAACTAAAAGAGGGTAGATTCAGACTAGGTATAAGGAAGAAATTTTTTATAGTGGGGGTGGTGAAACACTGGACCAGGTTGCCCAGAGAGGTGGTAGATGCCCCATCCCTGGAAACATTCAAGGTCAGGCTGGACGGGGCTCTGAGCAACCTGATCTAGTTGAAGATGTCCCTGCTCATTGCAGGGGGGTTGAACTAGATGACCTTTAAAGGTCCCTTCCAACCCAAATCATTCTATGATTCTATGACTTTTTACTGAATTAAAATACACAGTTGTGATTGGGGTTTTGGGAGACTTGTCTTATTTTGGTTTTGGAGGTTTTTTTTAGAAACCGAGAGAGGTGAGGGGGATCACAAGCCAGTTGTTAGGACTCTACTCTTTCAAACACTGCACTATTTAAAGTATTAAAATTGATGTATTCTTACAGTCTGCAGACTTATTGTTAAAAATGCATGGGTACATGCATAGTTAAATACTCTAACAAACCATGACACACAGTTTAAGTGGTTCTTCTGTTACTGTACATAGTTAGCAGTGTTCATAGTTAGAAAAGTTAGCATGCCTTAGCCAATTTTGCTCAAACGCTTTTTCCAGTTTGCTATGTGTATTGGAAGGAGTGGTGATGGTGGTGGTTTTTTTTCTTTTAAACTAACTATGATGCGACCTGTGATGATGTATTCTGTGTTAGCAGCTAGGCAGTGCATTGTTTCTTTCTTCAGGTTTAACAGTGTTTGAAACTGGACAAAGGAAAATTGAAAAAAGGAAGAAATTCAAGGAGAATGATGCATCTAATATTGATGGTTTTCTGGGACCATGGGCAAAGTATGTTGATGAAAAAGAAGTAGCCAAGCCATCAGAAGTAAGTACTACTTTAACACAATAGATACAAATTGTTAGTATATTGCAGTGGTTTTAACAGAGATCCAGCTGCACTAGTAGTTTTTCCAAGCAGAAGATCCATGCTATGCTTTAGGGTGATAGAAACATTTCAGGTGATATGTCCAAATAAGGTGTTCTGAATATTCTGCATTCAATTACTTGCAAGACTGTTTGGAAATAAAATTAATGGTATCTGTGTGTAGTGTGTAGAGTCTGATTAAAAGATGTTTATAAACAGAAGCAGCTTGAAAAGAACCGAAAGTAAAACTTGTTTAAAAAAAAAAAGAAAAAAACAAACAGAAAAACAATTATCCCCCCAAAAACCCCTCTCCAACCGACAAACATCCTTCTTACTCAGTCAGTGATGCTTAGCTGTAGTCTATGAATAAAAAGGTAGTATTTAATTCTTTTCAGTGTACATAGCTTTTTAAATTATTCTGGTTTTGGTAAAGATACTCTCTTTATTGATGCTTAGAAATATTTCTTATCTCATTTAGCAAATAAATGTGTTCTTAATAGTAAGTAAACGGTAGTGCAGTTCTGGATTTTGTTATGTGATTCTTAATGCTGAATTTTTAAAAGTCAAGATCATGTTTTATTTTACCAGGAAGAACAGAAAGAGTTGGATGAAATAACAGCTAAGAGGCAGAAGAGAGGAAAACTAGAAGATGATAAACCTGGAGAGGAGAAGACTATATTACATGGTAATGGCATCTTCCTGCTTGTTCTCATTTTCTTGCTCACCGTGTTTTCTTGCCTGCTGTGTTAATTAGTAAGGATGGCAGACAGCCTCAGCAGTTCTGCGGAGGCATCTTGATGTTTCTGTATTGGAGATAATAGCGCTCACATGAGTAAGCATAAAGGACAGGGAAAAAAAGCTTCATACTGTGCAGAGCAGCGTGGAAATGTCATCTTTCAGGGTACTGGTTTTATTTATTTATTTTTAATGGTACTACACACACATATCCTTTTCCTATTTTACAGAGCAAACATTTTAAAATTATGAGTTTGGCTTAGTTTCAACTTTAGAATTACTGCAGTTTTATGTGTCAGTACTTTCATCAGCAGGTAGTGCTTTGAGTTATGGCTTACATACAATTTAGAAAATCACTTGGACTTTATACTTCCTCAATTCTTAATGTAAATGTTCTTGCTGTCATACTATGAATAATTGTGTATCAAATAATTACCCTATGGAAGCCTATAGCATGTGGTACCTTCAAAGAAAATGGTTTGGCAACTAAGTAAGTAAAGTGAAGTGAGTTTTGGAAACTGTTCTTTCAACTCTGCATGCAAAACAGTCCTGCCTTATATTGCTTGGCACAGATAGTTAGGTAAACCAAGTCTCTCTTTGTTTACCACTTTCTACACTCAGGCTCACATGCACAAGCTGGAGCATCCTTTCTTATATGCATTAAAGAATAAGTGGCTATGAGATATGAATTGATGACATTAGTACTTCATTCTGTTTATATGTCGTAGATGATGACAATATTTATTGAGTAGTGGCAAGCATAACAAATCTGAAATTTTAGCATTGAGCCTTCTATAGAATCATTATTTTGTATCCAACTTTCATGGTCTCTACCTGAAGTCTCACAGTGAAAGACCTTACAAGATAAACTTCAATTTTTTCAAACAGAAACATTCCAGAAATATGCCATTTTGTAGACATGTATAAGCATTGATGCTGTGCAGGAGGTCACTTGTACAACCAAAACTGCCATAACAATATCCCAGAAACTGAGAAATTAATTTAATCAGTGCACAGTTTAATATCACGGCTATCCAACACAAGTCTACTCTGAAATATCTGTTTCCATGCACAATGCATCCCTGCATGTCTGACTGTCCGATCACTTTTTAAATCTAGTTAAAGAGCAGCTGTTGGCTACTGCTGACAAATACTGGTTCACACTGGCCAAATGGATCTTTTTTTCTCCCGTTTGTAATTCTGTTGATGTGACTGACACAGCACAGAGTTGGCTGGAATGTGAATTGCAACCAAATGCCAGCATTAGAGTTGCACATTATAGTCTGTGTACAGTTAGTACAAGCAAACCCTTGTTGGCCAGAGGAACTCTCTTGCTGTTTGATGATGAGTAAGGTGTGTAGGGGGGAGATTGTCTTAATGTTCAGATTATCAGATTCCAAGCAGACTTTGCTGAAATGACTTAATTTGAGCTCAACTGATGTCATATAAGATTCCACATCTGTGTCCTATGAAGTGGATTTTTCTTTTTTCTCCCACCCACCCATCCCCCTCCCACTTCACAGCAGAGCAGCTGTGTTGAGAAGACCTTAATTGTGTGTGGCTGTTGAGCCTTTCGAAGATTACAACCTCTTAAAATACAGGCTTTGGGATTCTCAGAACTCTATTGTTTTCCTTTTCAGTTAAGGAAATGTATGACTATCAGGGGAGATCTTATCTTCATGTCCCTCAAGATGTTGGAGTTAATCTACGTTCTACAGTGCCACCTGAGAAGTGCTATCTTCCAAAGAAACAAATCCATGTGTGGTCTGGACATACAAAGGTAGGAAGTCGTGTTTGTGAGCGTGCATCATAAAAACCCACTTCACTTTGTGTCTGAAGCTGATAACTTCCTTCTGCTGATACTTCAGTTTTATAGGAGTATTTTTGTCTTTACCACATTATGCATGTAATTAGTTGCATTACGTGCTCACACAAGGTGTTTGCCTGCTCAAATGCAGTTGTTTACCTGCATATACTTTTTCGTGACCATAGTGACTTCCTGACCTCCTTTAAAGGGACAAATATTATTCAGTGAATTCTGTGGGATTTGGAGTTATTTCCTAAACTACCCCGTGAATAAGAGTAAGGCTAATTCTAGAGATCCCTGAAAATGTTTTTTTTAATAGTAAAAGTACTTAAGGGCTATTTCATATCAAACTTACAAAAAGTTACATAGGTTTTGTGATTATGATGCATCAGCACTATGGGATTCCCAAATACAGCTATTACCTTTGAGAGGTCTGTTTTGTTAAGAGTTTTCTTTGATGATGCTACTTAACATTTACAGTTTCTTCTTGTGCCAGAGCCTGTAACTATATGCATAATTTTGGTATTAAAAAAGTGTTTCACTGCTCAGATTTGTAAAGCCTATACTCAATTTGCTGCTTCTTTTGTCTCTAATTTTCAGTATTGCTTGAAGGAATATGCTGTGCTGCAATGGACAGCACTTTAATGATATCTGAAAGATGGGAGAAAGGAGGACACAGAAACGCTTATAGCTTTTACCCTTTTTGAGTGGAGTCATAGCTCTGAACTCTTCTTCAATGATTGCTGCATCGAAGAGCTTGTAGATGCAACTATCAGTGCTTTCAAGAATAACATCTCCTCCCCAAAGTTCTAGTTACTCCTCTGCCTATTATCTATTGGAACAGACTGATGCACAAAATAGCTTTTTTCTTCAAACAAGAGATGAATAATGATATCGATGAGAGAAGCAAAAGAAAGATGTGCTGACAAATCTAGAAAAGCTGGGGGATATAAGTAGACAATAATAGGGAGGATAAAGCACCCAACTCCAACCAGGGGTGGGAGGAACTGGATGGAATATGAACAGAGTAATAGACATGAAATGGCAAGAAGGACATCAAACCATGAATACTTGGCGGTTCTTTGGACTTCCTCTGCAAGGAGTACCTGAAATACAGATAGATGGGAAGATGCTATGCCCAGGGAATCTGAGTTCAGTGGGTAGAAGCCACTGGTAGTATAAGTAAGAAATGGAGCTGGCCATAAATTTTTTTTGTGGAAAACTTCCTCACCTGGCCTACCTGAAAAGGCTTGTTATACAGAAACGGTCGCCCAAACCCACAATTTGTATTTCTTTGCTGTGTTTACCACAGTAATGGTGTAAGTGTTGAAGGAGGGTATATGTACAGCTGTTGAAGTGAATCAATTTGTTGCCAATAACAATTGTTCAAAACACATTGCTGTTTTTAAAATGCAATGTCAGTAGGTTGTTTCTTTTCAAGATACAGTATCTGTATATTTTATGAAGATAAGCTTTAGCTTTTTGCTTAGAAAAGAGGGCAAGTGAACTGAGGAAATATCTAGATGCTCCACTTACTGTTTAACTATGTCCTTATTTACAGGGTGTCAGTGCAGTTAGATTGTTTCCTCTCTCTGGGCATATACTGTTGTCTTGCTCTATGGATTGCAAAATTAAGGTGAGTTATTTTTCTATTTTCATGTATATATATTTTATATCATCATTGAATATAGACAATGCGTTTTAGAATACTTAAACATTTGGTACTTCTACCAAATACCTTTTGTCTGTGTTACTTTTATTTTTCTCACTTGATTTTTAAATAACACATTCGTTGGAACAAAGATCAAAATAATACACAAGACTGTGGGTGTTAGAACAGTGTTAATCATTTAGTAATAGCATTTAGAAGGTCACAAGTTCCTCAGGTTATTGCCTTTGTTATTATAATAATCTGTTTTCTGTGAAGCCTAGTTTTACAACTAGCAATAGGTTTCTGCTGAAGTGTTTTACTGAAGCATTTGTGGTCTTGAACTAATCTCATTTTAGTCCAGCGTACATCATATTATGATAATTTTTTTTTTTAACTAGCAAAACCTTAGGGCTTTAAAGTTGAAATATAGTATGGAGTTTTTAGTTCTTTTAAGGGGGGTTTGCTAACAATAAGGTGACAGAGCATTCTTGTGAATTCCTAGGTATATAATTGTGATTAATCAGTAGATGTCATACATTTGTAATTAATTTCTTAAAAGATGTTGCCATACATGTTTGCGCTTAATTTCAGTTAATCATTATTGTTTAACAATTGACATTTTTTCTCCCCATCCCTTTTTTTTTTCCAAGCTATGGGAAGTATATGGTGATCGAAGATGTCTACGCACATTTATTGGTAATAGCCTTTTTTTTTAAGCTGATGTATATTTAAAACAACTTCATGGAAGGATATGATTTAGGTTAGCTTAGTAATTTATCATAGGGAGGACTTGTGGGCATCCAAGGCAAATGGTATTCAGTATAAGCTTGCCAATAAGAATTGAAAAAGGTGCAAGTTTTTATTAAACCTTTGTCATTATTCCAAGCAATTCAACGTTGATGTGTAACACCTTACAACCCTTAAAACAAAACATTAGTGTACTGCAGTCATCAATACTTCATGCAAGTCTCCTTTCCAAAGGCAAAATTGTGAGTTAAATTGCCCCATCTTCATGTTGAGAACAGCAGCCCTCTGTATTTACGCAGTGAGGGCATCTCGTCGTCTGATGATCCCACCTTAAATAGGTGGTCTCTTCTGTATTGAGTTTCTAGTGCAAAAGCATGGGAATTTTTTTTTAGGTTCAGGTGCCGCCTTTGTTCATGTAATAGGTGCTTTTTAAAGCAGATAGCTGAGAGAGAGAGAAATGCAAACTTCCTAGCAGCCTTGAATGCAGAACAAAAGCAGCTGACTCTCCTTTTGAAATGGGAACATTTCTAGAACACTGAGTGAATATATGTTGAGTAACAACAAAGAAGTCTTTTTTCACCTAATATTTCTGATGACAGCAGTGTGGTGAAGATGATGGCTCAGAAAAGGTTCTCCTTCAATAGACTGTTCTTTCTGAACAGTTGAACTGTTTTTCTCAAAAGGTCCTTATTATCAACCAGATTCGCCTGCTGTTTTGCTATATTTAAATTACTGTGCCAGTATTTTAACTAAAGAGATCTCCTACTAGTCTGATGCAGTGGTCAGATGAAAGTATTGGGGTTGGGGGGCAGCAAAGTTAACACCAGGTGAAAGCATTCTTAATTTTCTGATCTAATACTTCCCATATTTTGTACCTGTTTTCTAATTTTAAATGTTTCTCCTTTAAATGTATCTCCTGTAGTGTTTGTCTCTCCTCTTTTTCATTAGGTGTTGACATTTGTTACAGCGTTTTAAACTTCTCTTGCAGCTCTTAACTGTGACCAGAACAATCTTTGAAGCCAACAGTACTTAAAGTTCTGCTTGTACATCAATTTTTGAATGATGCGCAGTGGTTGTTTCTGTGCTATGCTATTGTTTCTATCTCCAGTGCTTTAGAGGTGTGGGGATTTGGGGGATTTATTCTCATCGTTCTTTAGAAGTTACTTTTTCTTTCTCACTTGAATCATTCTTTGCTAGTGCTCATGAAGGACTTCAATAAGCGATTTCCTTGTTCTCTTTGCATTGTTAAAGACTGGAGCATTTAACTTGAATAATGTTTTAAAAAAAAAAAACATTAATTTTAAGCATGAATGGATAAAAGTTTGTCATCGCATTTTTTCTATCTTGTAGGACATAGTAAAGCTGTTCGAGACATCTGTTTTAATAATGCTGGCACTCGCTTTCTTAGTGCTGCATATGACCGCTATCTTAAGCTCTGGGACACTGAAACAGGTAGGCTTGTATTTGTAGATGTTGTTATTTGGCACTATATTTAATTAATAGTAAATATCAAGATATATTATCAGTCAGTCAGGTTGTTTCCAATTATCCTTAATATCATCTTGTAGTTCAGTGTTTAGGCTTTCATTACAGGATGAATAGTCTTTTTTTCGTAAATGTTCTGTTGTTATCTGTAATGGTGCAATTGACACTACCTATACACCTGTATTTCATATACCTTTTTATTTGAGAAGTTTGATTGTTATTTGTAATGCTAGAACAATTTTCAGCAAAAAGACAAAATTTTACCAAATCAGTTAATTGCATGTTTACATTTACAGGCATAAAATTAAGTAATGAAATCACACGTTAGACCTAAATATGCTTAATTTAGAATAATTATTTCATTTGATCTTTCGATTAACCTGAGCTTGAAGAGCACTCCAAATAAGAAACAGTGGTGGAAATTGAGCTGCTGGTATAGGGAGTGGAGGGTAGGTCTAATGCTCTCACAGAACTACCTGGGAGATGCTCTGTAACATTCTGCTCCAAATAGTTTTTTAAGCTAAAAAGATACAGGATAGATTTTGTCAATATTGTTTTAAACTTAAGTCTGTTCCTAAGACAGGAAGTTTCCATGTTTGAAAAGACATTAGCTTTCTTGGTTAGCAGTGCCACTAGTCTCATACAGGTGACAGCCAGAAAGGTGTAAGTCAAATTCTCCAGACTTGAGTCTGAGCACAGTTATTTAGACACCTAAAAAATGTATTGAGCTTTTGGATTAAAACAGGCTCCTGTAAGTTATGGATAACATCCGATAATCAGGGTATTTATGGCTGAGGCTAGGTCAGTGGTTTGTTTTGCAGTTGGATTACTGTTATCCTTTTCTAGGTTTAGGATTGAGGAATTCTTGCCTGAGTTTGTCTCTTGTCAAGAAGACCTCTGATCCTAAGGAGGTGATGCAAAGTCAACAGTCAGCTTGGGATATCCTGACCAGTCCTGATGTCCTTGATACATCCTGATGATATACAGGGTACTGAGCAGTTACATTGTTTGGAAAGCTGTAGTAAAGGTACAGAACAGTTCGTATGTGTATGTGTTTATACAGGTGCATGCATACGAACATGCGAAAGAAAGTATAATCAAAGAGCAGGGTAAATTCTACCCTCTAATCCTCTCAAGGGCTTTAAAAAAAGTATTTCCTGCTGTTAGTAAAGTAAAAGTAAAGGAATGTTTTTTATCAATATCTGGAAAGAACTAATCAGCCCATTGAACTTCCAACCTGACGCACTATCAATGGCTTGTCTGTTGCAGGGCAATGTATTTCAAGATTCACAAACAGGAAGGTTCCTTATTGTGTCAAGTTCAATCCTGACGAAGATAAACAAAATCTCTTTGTTGCAGGAATGTCAGATAAGAAAATTGTGCAGGTATGTCTACTTAATATCTCTTCCTCTAAAAACTATGATATTTAGTAAAAAACAAGGTCTTATTCTGATTTTTTTATTTGTAGTGGGATATTCGAAGTGGTGAGATTGTGCAGGAATACGATAGGCATTTGGGAGCTGTCAACACCATTGTGTTTGTGGATGAAAATAGAAGGTTTGTGAGTACATCTGATGACAAGAGTTTAAGAGTCTGGGAATGGTAAGTTTAAAAATTTGAGGTTTAACTTGTATTTTATGTATATTATGAGCAAACTGAGAAGAGAGTTTATTTTTAACAGTATACGTAGCACATAGGACACTGGAGTGTACTAAGTTCTAGCTAGCTGAGGAAGAGCTGAATTTGAATTTTTACAAATTTTTATGTAATTATATATGCAGTAGCTAAAATGTTTCACAATAAAGTAGAACCAGAACAATCTCAGCTAATTTCTGATAACTGTTGAAGTTGGGCATATAGTCTGCAAGCTCCTGCATACTGCCACTCAGTCTAGTATGGGTCATAGTTCTTAAACATTTTTGTCCAGTAAAAGGAAACATCCTTTCCAAAATCTTACTGTAATACTTTCAATGTCTTTGAAAACATTCTTAATGTCTAATAGTGAATTACTGTCCCTAGCTTACTGTCCTACTGTACTGCAATATTTGAAAACTGTTTTTAAAGCCTACAAGACCTAAATCACTATATGCAAAGTAAAATGTCTTAAATAGCTTCTGTTTTATTGGTGCAGATTTTATATGGGCATTGGGCTGTATTTATTTTTAGCATTTATTATTAATAATTTATCTTAACATTGTATCTCTTAGAATCATTTCTCTAAAGATTTTAATCTTTAAAACCAGTTGTTTCCTATCACGTTGCTGAATACTAACCAACCCACCCTGGCTTACTGCTTGAGACACTTCACAGATTTCCTGCTCCCCCAAAGAAAGTATACAACAGTCCTGTCAGCCTGAACCGCACTGCACTCTATTAGTGATCTCTGTTCTCTCTCCTTTCCGCAAAGGTGTATTAGCCTTTAAATTAACCTTTTGAAGAAATGTCTGCTCTGTTACATTAATGTGTGTCGGTTTTGAAAGCTTTGAACTTGGATGTGCATAATAATATATAATATTTGGCTCATGTATGAAATAGCTAGTTTAGTATACCTTAATTTCTGGTTTTCTGATAGTCTGGGTTCTTTGGCAATCATTGATACCCACAGTATGAATACAATAGGTGACAGAAAAGTGAAAGTCTATCTAAGAAAAACTCGTAAAAAAAACGTAATTTTAAATGGCTTCCAATTTTTAACATATCTGGGGAGAAACCAAATCTCTCCTATCTGAAATGTTTTCCACAAGGTTCTAGGTACTAAGATTTTCAGCTTAGGACTCTTAAGATTTCTCTAGGATTTCAAATTTCTTTTTGAAATAATCACTCCTGTATCTTTAGGTATCCATTTCATTTTGCCGTTCACACATGCAAAGCTGTTGCACAATATGGACACTAGTTCAACAGCTCTGTGACTAATCAGTTCCTTCCTGGCTTTTTTCTTTTTAAAAAAACCTAGACAAGAGACTGCAATCTGTGGTATTTGAATGTTACCCAAGCAGCCAGCAAAACCCTCAGCATGTCTGTGATCGCCTGCTATCATTGCCAATAGCAGCGGTGGTAATGACCAAAGTCTGGGAACCCAGGCTTAGACTAGACATGTAATGCTGTCACCATATGTCACTCCAAGAGAGCCTCTGTTCAGTATTTCATAATTAGACCCATGTATTTACTGAGCTCCTTAAAGAAAAATCTTCACAATATCATATCTGCTAAGGAGTGTCTCCTCTCTGGCGAGTGGGAGGAGGATCTCACTTGCACAAATCTGTTATTTCCTTGAGATTGGATTGCCCTTGTTTTGTGAGCTTTGTGTTGATGGCTGAAATAAATAGCGAAGTGGGTGGATTTAGTCACTTTGTGGGGAAGAGTAGGAAAGGCAAAAAGGTTCTGGCATGGGAACATCGCAACCTGATTGTTCCAGTAGCAGAAGTTTTTTCCTTCTGAAGAAAAAAATATGTACTGAGCTTGCTGTATGCTGAAGAAAGAGCTCCCTTGTTCAGATAATAGGGAACTCAACTGTAGGCAATATTCTGTAATACAGTCATTGGGGATTTTTTTTGGTTTTATAAAAAGCAAATGTAATGCTGTCTTCCTAGGCACGACTTGAAAACCTTTTTCCACAACTTGCCATGATACATGTTAATTGGTCTGTAGGCATATTTCTATAATTTCAAGATCCAGATTTTTACAATGCATTAAAACTAAGTTAATGTATTCAGTACAGAAGCTTTTGGAGCTTGAAAACTTCCATGGCAAATTATTTCGTGCTGCACCTCAAATCCTTTTTTCCTAAGTTCATAAGGAAAATTATTTGCAACTTGGGGTGATTTGGTTACTGCACCTTTTGGCATGTTTCTTCATACGTTCTTCGGCACAATATTTCTTCAGTATCCTACAGGAACAAAGCAGAAGTAATTATGACCTCAGCATGGCCTTAAAAGCCAGTAATTAAAGCTGGTCTAATTGCTTAGTTTCCATTGTCTAGAGGAATTTTGCAGCATGTTTTGTAAACACTTTGACTTGGCCAGAGCTGGTAATGGGATGCCATGTCAGACTTCATCACAGTGAGGAACTTCTCCCCTGAGAATTTAAATCTCCTTTCCCCAGGAGTCCATCCCATGCATAGATGTCAGTGTACACTGAATTGCGGTTGGTTGGTTGCTGAAAGTTCAGACTGCAAGTATAGGCCAGACTCTTGCAGATTAAATGGTTTCTTTAGGAGTCTTAATGGGAGTACTTTAAAATTTGTCTGCTTTTGCATTTCATGTGATTGTATCGTTACAGCAGTGATATTGAAGTTGACATGGGTATCATATTCCGTCTTCTTTCTTCTAGAAATGCAAAATGTTATTTTGTCTTTGTCTGCTTCATATGTGTCTGAGCTACTTGGATAAACAGTTAAATGATTTGGGCAATTGACCTTGGATGTTTTTATTTCCTTTTACCTTCAAGTCAGCTGGCAAACCAAGAACTGTACATTGGCAGCTTAGTTACTATCCTGGCAGGCTTAGGAGGCTTGTCATCTCTGTAAAGCTATAACCCCTCAGCAGGCCTTTTCTCTCCATCGTTCCTGGTAGAGATATGGTAGTCTCCTTAGAGATCTCTTCATGATGTGCAGATCCCACAATTGGATTGGGTTGGGTTTGGGGTTTGGTTTTATTTTTTCTTCTTTCTTTAAAAAGATTTTTCTCTCCCTTGCCTGGGGAAGAAGTTGTATTAAACCCCAGAATATCACGTTTCTAAATCTTGGCTAGCAGATAGTACTTTTGATATTTAAAACTCTTCAGCCTTTGAAATGCTATGAAGTGGGGAAAGGACTTGAAGATCTTTAGATTTAAAAATTTGAACAAACAATATATCACATGTGTTTTGAAGTCAGGCAACCATGACAGCATCTTTCTTGGTAATTTTTTTTAAAGATTTTTTTTTTTTTTTTTTAAGGGAGCAGGCTGATATTACTTATTTAGCAATTTGACTGGCAGGAAATGTGAAACATAAATGTATCTCTTTATTCTGCCTAATAGCTTAATGCACCATATCCTGCAGCTGTCCTAAGTGTGTCTGGTAGGTTTCAACATAAAGCAGAGCTGTCTTGAATAAATTCCAGTAGATAAGCCTGCCTTCATTTGTAAAGGGAGAGAAGGCAGGACAACCTGTGCTGCATTTAAATTTCTCACTGCAGTACGATTCAGCACTGGAGACGCATCTTCTTGATGAGACTTTTTTTTAATGGGGCTTCCAATGGGATTGCTTTTACCTGGCATTGAGGACTCCAGATGACATGTGGGCTGAGGAAGTGCTGAGGAAGTGTGGATGTTGGGAGTTGATCAGGATCTGGCTTTACTGCAGCAATGACCTTGTGTCCTGTTGCAGGTGGGGTTTGAAGCTCTTTGGGTATTGCTTTTTGGGGCATGGGGGGCTGCACTTCCTGTGCTGTCATGTTGGTCAGCCTCAGAGATTATGTGGACTCTCTGGTCCTTTACAGATTTACTGTCCAACAGTAGTCTTAGGTCTGCCTGTTTGGAAGCCAGTTATCCCTGCGTGTGCTCTTATCCACAGAGTGTATTAAGTGGGTTGCCCTTCTTACGCAGAGGGGTGAATGATTTTAACATTTAACTCACAGGAACATGTGTTGCTTCCTGACAACAGAGCAGCTTCTCACCCTGCTGCCCATATGCACTTTACTTAACACTAGATGACGGGAAATAACTTACTCCACAATAAAACAGAATTGTAATTACCTTGCTAATGTCGACCGTATTGCCATCCAGCAAGGCTCGGTCAGCAAGTACAAGGCAGCCACCCACGCTCTCTGCTCCAGTAGTGTCCCAGCAGCTCTTCTACTGTGTGAATTAGACAATGAAGTCATAACCATCCCCTTTGTATTAATTAATGTTGCTACAGAACATTTTGCATGTGTTTTGTGCTGAATACGTTAATCAAATCTATTTTCTGCTGGAGATTTCTTTTGCTTAATGAGAAAGACACGTGCGTGCCTTCCCTTTTTAGCAGTCTTCTAATGTAGGGTATGAGGAATACTGTGAATATGCACAGCCCGTTAGTAATTCAATTTATATAGTCAAAACCAAATGACAGTTCTGCAGAGTAAGGATTAGACTGTACTTGTTTTTTCCCTAGGTCCACATGCTTTTGTACAGGACAGTGTATGTTCTTAACATACACTGGCACAGTCCTGTATGGAATCAAGACCAAGGAGTTCACAGTTCAGTTCAGCTGTGAACATTTGGAATTGGTTGGCATCCCATTTGGGGAGATCAGGACGAAAAGGGCATTGTCAGAGAGACAAGAGAAAGACACTCCTGTTTTATTTTCCTTTAAAAAAAAAAAAAAAGGAAGAAAAGAAAAGGCAGAAATATTCTAGTTAAAACTCAAGTCAGTAAGACATGCCAATAAGACACGTGCATGTATCAGTCTATTCTTGCTACCTGTATAAGAATTTTGTAAGAGCTGCAGTTAAATGGAGGCAATAGAGTATCTTTGTGTTACGGTTTTACACTTAACAATTGGAATTATGATTCTGCTTTAGACTCTGGTTCATTTGATTGGGGTAAATTCACTCTACCAGATGTTATCCTGTAGGTGGCTCCATAGCTGGAGCTCTCTAGATGGGCATTCATCATATTTTTGAGCTTTTGCACATTTTTCCTTTGGACACCACCATACGCTCTCCGTGGTTCAGTGGCTGAGAAAATCAGCTGACTGGAGGCAGCCCTCTGGAAAATCTCCATGTCTTCATCAAACACATACTTCTTCCTTTTGCAGGGACATTCCTGTAGACTTCAAGTACATAGCTGAGCCAAGTATGCATTCGATGCCAGCCGTGACTTTGTCTCCAAATGGTAGGTTAACACTTTACTGCCTTCTTAAGCCTAGTTTACCTAGGCGCATCCTACTGATTATCTCTCTGAGAGATAATGATACTTACAGTAAGCATATCTTACTGATTATAATGTTGCCATTTTACATCCCCCTGCCACCCCACATTACCTCCCCCAAATCAGTATGTGCTTTTATTCCAAGATTGGACAGGATCTGGTTTTGATTTAAAAGTCTTAAGAAGACCAAGTATGTCAAAATGAGGGGTTGCATCAGGATAACTGTATCAATTTAAATTTAGACCTTCATCCAGACAGGACAAAAGGATTCTTTCTTTTCATAGAGCTAGGATGTGCTCTTGGTTGCATTTAAAATATTAAGAGAAACAATGGTGGGAACTGACAATGGCTGCAAAGTACTAAGCAAGTTCAGCAGTCCTTGTGGTGCCACTGTTAAAGCAGAAACTGGTGTTGTACATGATCCTGTTAATGGTGTTCCTTTCTGTTCTGAATATAGCCCAAATAACACTTGCATAAGAGAAATCCCAGATTATCTCAGTGTTAATGTTTCCTGGTGTTCATGTTCTTCAGTTAGAATCAAACAGAAGGAGGATAAAGGTTTAGTGCCTCCAGTAATCAGTGAAAATCCTTCTAACAGGACAAAATCTCTGTTATCTGTTGTAGCCAAAATTAAATAGCTTTAGTGTCAAAATTATTAAAGCATTGCCAGATTTACAGTTATGCTGTAAATTATGCTGAGTCCCATTATACTGAGTAGTGGCTGATCAACTTATTACACAGCTAACGTTTTCAGCCAGCTATCAGCATCAAATTGTCTTTGCTTTGCAGTGTAAATATTTTATTCTTAACAATAGAAGTGGGTTTCTAATATAAAAAGGAAGATTCTGGAGAAAGAGAAGAGCTGCGTTTAAAAATGTTAGCTTCCCAAGCTGGCCTATTTCAACCCCTGTTTCTGAAATTGCACAACTTGCTGTATTCTGATCCAGTTCTTCAGTTCATGTCATTCTTCCACATTGAAATACTGGATTTCTCATTCTTTTTCCAGTTCTGGCTGGCCAGCATTTGAGTATTTGATTTCTGAGATGAGACAGTAAATGATGTTAGGGATGAAGTAGTCATCTTTCAGCTCAAGACATCACCTGTCACGTTAACTAACATTATCTTGACCTACAGTAGTCCAATATTGCACAAAACAAGTTCTTTCAGAATAGTTATGCTACAGATTGTGCCAGACACATCATGCATCATTTTGGAGTTAAATGAGTCCTTTAAAGAAAAGTAAATTGAAAATTTTACAGATATGGAACTTTTCTGCTGAGGGCACTAATTTATGAATCTCATCAATTAAAATCTTTCTCCTAAGCAATGCAGGAAACAGACCTTTTAAAAAGTAGAAGAGGAGAATAACATGCTTGGGGTACCCACTTGATTTGTTTCTTTGGGAGGCTGAAGAAAATCCTCAAATTCCAAGCTAGTAGCTGGAAGTGTGGTCAGATTTAGTCAAGTCAACACATTTTATGTTATCATTGTTTGCGTAAAACACTGTAAAGGCAGTGACGATATGCAGAGTTCAGGACAGAAGTCTCTGTTCTATGGTGTTCTGTAGCACATCATCTTCATTGGATTCTCAAGCAGGAGTTAATGCACTGCTGAGATGCAAAATGAGATAGAGTTCAGATTAGAAAAGCCTGGGTTTTTTTCTTTCACTAAAATATGTTTATTAAATTGTATTCCATTAGGGCAGAGAATACTAAATATTTGCAAAAATTTATAAAGATTTTCAAACTCCTGAGTCTACCTTAGATCTGTTTTTCCGTAAAGAAAAAAGGTGACCATCTTAGAGTACCCACAAAACAAGTAATCAAATATATTGCAGCTAGATGGGGTTTTTTCACATCTCGATTACTTGATTATGTGCACCAGCAAGCTTACTCAGTAGCTTAAAAACTTATTGGTATGTCAGTGGGGTTGGTGCAACACATTGTTATAACAGCCAGAGCTTTTTTAGAGTCCTGAGTGCATTTTGTAGGAATAGGCGTCCCAAATCCTGTCAAACTTAAGGTTTTGCTTCTTGGCAGTTGTACCAGGCAGAAGCAATATCAGCTGCTACCTAGAACCCTGATACATAATGAAAATCTGGATTAAGATAGTGCAAGAAAAGTTATAAAAATCTCTTAAAACTTTCCAGTTGAGTCTCTTTCTTCAGATGCAGCGCTCTGATACCATCTTTGTTTATTGCATTTACAGGGAAGTGGTTGGCTTGCCAGTCGATGGATAACCAAATTCTGATTTTTGGAGCTCAGAACAGATTCAGATTAAACAAAAAGAAAATTTTCAAAGGTCACATGGTAGCTGGCTACGCTTGTCAAGTGGATTTTTCACCTGACATGAGGTAAGTTTTTGTGGGAATGAGCTTCATCTTAAAACTTGCCAGCACAGACACTAAATTTCTTTTTGAATCCTCTGCAACATTCATTGATGCACAGCCATCCTATTAACTCAGCATCAGAGAGAGTTCTCTAGCCAAGCAGCAGAATGGAAAGTTTGCTCTTGTCGTTCAATAGGACTAAGTTATACTCAGCAGTTGCTCTGAGCAACATTTAGAAAACAGTCCATGTAGTCCAGATTCCCCATTCTGCAAAGATGATTTACACTGCTGTTAAGCCATCCAGAGATTTCCCTTGTTTTCCCTAGCCCTGGTGCAGCACAGGAGGCTTCCACTTCTGACTTGCATCCGGCTCTTTTTGTGCGTGGTCTGCAGCACAGGGTCTATTCCCGCAGTATGCACTTGTCTAGAGTACCTGGGATTCAGACTTGCACAGTTTTCCCAATTTGCAGGTCTGCTGTGGGTATCCTCATTTATTGTTCAGAGAACCATCTTTTTTATCCTATTTGCTTAGTAATATGCCCATACATTTACCACTGTATGTACATAAGATATTCATTACTATAAAAACTGGAGAATAACCTCAGCAAAACTGGAGGAAAAAGTGGAGAGAAGTGTCTATAAATTTTAGAGAAACCTCTGGCACTTTCTCTTTTGCTGATGTATTCTCTTTAGTTCCAGTAACACAGTGTATGGTATAATCGCGTTGCTTGGCACATTTACCTCGCAGTTGATGAATCACCTTCTGCAGGACTTGTGCGCTTCAGAGCACAGCATGAATGCTAATTCTTTGGTAGGTATGTTTGCAGACTGTCAGACAGGAAACTCACTGGGTGAAGCTCTTTTCTATTGCTCAATGTAAAAGCATTGTAATACAAGCGGTCTTCACACATGATACAGCTTTTATTTTAATCCTGTTAATATAGCTATGTGATATCTGGAGATGCAGATGGAAAACTTAACATCTGGGACTGGAAGACAACAAAACTCTACAGCAGATTAAAAGCACATGATAAAGTCTGTATCGGTGCAGTGTGGCATCCACACGAAACATCTAAAGTCATTACATGCGGCTGGGATGGTCTTATTAAACTATGGGACTAAAAAGGATGCTACGAAGGTCTAAAGATGTAAGTCCTGCATACATCTGAGATTAGAGTGAATTCTGCTGTAAGGATGGGTAGACATTTGTAATGCTGCAGTTCTCAGCTAGCTGTATATATGCACTAAAAAATGGGAAATCTTCAGAAGACACAACTGAAAGGATATAGTTCTAAATATTACCTCTGAGTATGAGAAGCCGAGGTCATGTGAAGCATGCAGAATCAAGTGTTAGTTTGTCATGTCACTGGTTGTGCAAAACACTCTTGTAAAATGAAATAATTTTAAGAAAAACTATTTTTGTGGTTCTGGCTGTCAGAGATGTGGGGAGTTAAAGGAGAAAACCAGCAATTGTGTAACTCTCTTCCTAAGAAGAAATCTTTGATGTTTACTGCAATAGAGCTGGAAAAGATACATTTGTTTACCTGGTTTTGGGTGGTATTTTGTTGTCCCCAAAATACTTCTACCTTTATAGAACACAAAGCCACTTGCTAAGATCTGTTGATTCACAGTAGAAATAAAGAACTAATCAGAAGGTAGCAGTAGTCAGATAAACTGTATCAACTGAAGACTGTATTCATAAACTCTTGGTTTCTGTCTTTATTTAACAATAGCATCATGCTGATCGCTGAGTTTCGTCTTTGCAAGTACTCCTCAATTTCAGGATTTTGCTTGTAATGGTTGTGTGTTAAGTGTTGTTTTTTTTTCTTCCCATATGCTGTTAAGTTCCAATAAGCATGACATATTAAAAAAAAAAAAAGGTGAATGTCTCTTGTTCAGTTTGGAATACATTGTATTATAAGCCCCATAAAGCTTTTGACAATTTAATGTATATACATGTCACACTTTTTCTCTTTAAAGAACTTATTTTTAATAAATCTTTTTATAAAAAGGCTGCTTATCTTCATTCAATTCTTCTGTCTAGCAGTGTCCATATAAATATTTTTTACCATTTGGTATTTTAATTTGCAGTTGTAGCAGCGTTCAGATAAACTCATTTTTTGCACTGTTCATACAAAACCAATGCAAGCTGGAAGCAAGAGAAAAAAAATCCTTTCAACTCCTTATCCACTCTCTTTTTGAGCACATAATGGAGAAAAAAAGTGTAATGAATTTATCCCATTGATCAGTCTTTAATTACAGTTTTGAATTACACTGTATTGTTTACTATAAATCCAATCACTGCTCATCAATTATAAACAATAGCAAAGGAGTAATTGCCTTAATTGACAGCAGGATAGAAGAGAAGGCACTTCCGTAGATAAGATGTAAAGAAGCTCAAATTGTGTAGACTGAAGGAAATGGGTTGGTTGTTTTATGGGATTTTTTTTGGTTTTGTGGTTTTTGATTATTAACAAGATAATTCTGTTCTTTCAAAGACTACTTGGTAAAGTTAGGCCCTGGTGAGTGAACATGGAGCTTACGTATTTTTAGACCAACTCTCTAAAGCTGAGCTTGAGAGTCTTTCCACTGTCCATTCATGCTGTCGTGTAACTGCACCAAGTTTACATGTTTCTGTTTACTTTCCTGTCTTGGTAGCCTTGTGTACCTGAAAAACTCCACAGACTGTTGTCACAAGCAGTGTACTGGTGGTGACTGGGTATTGCCTACCCTTGCACCGTGCAAGTACTGTGATAGGAAACGGTAGAGCCTGGCGTGAGAGGAAAGAGACGGTCCAGTGTGTCCTGAGGACCGTCTCCTCTGCAGGGAGAGAAGAGGCTGTTCTTGTTTCTTGGCTCTTCAGGGTGCAGGGGGGAGTGAGCTGCTGCCATGTCGCAGAGGGTGAATTTCCAGCGTGGTTCTTTTCACAGGGAAGACTCAACTCCTGAGCTGGGAGTTGAGCTCTGGTGTGCACTGTGCCCCGGGTGCCACTTCAGCAGAAAGTGGGCTGAAATAATTTAGAACAGTTTTCTTCCTTCAAATACATTTCCTAAATAGATATGTGGCAGTATGCCCTGATCATTAACAGCTTTTAAGTACAGGGAATTAGGGAGGAGAGGAGGAATAAAGCAGATAGAAAAACATCTCACAGGAATATGTATTAGCTTCCATATCAGAAACATCTTTCCCAAATGCTTAAAAGCCTTTAAATCGTAATACACAAAATGTTTGGCTCTGTAGTTGGTACTGTGTTTTTCCATGTGTCACCTACCAGGCAGAACTATTTTTTATAT